CTTATTGGTCTTGAGTATGTACATGTCTTACTTGGAGGCTTCCTTTGTGCACTAAGTCACGTACAAAGTGAAGATCAATTTGAATGTGTTTCATGCGTGAATGATTGACTGGGTTAAAACTGAGATGTGTGGCACCGAGATTATCACATAACAGCTGGGGTGATTCTTTGACTGGAAAGTGTAATTCTTTGAAAAGAGTGGACAGCCACATTGTCTCGGAAGCCGCATTTGCTAGGGCTCGATATTCAGCTTCTGTCGAGGAGCGTGCAACAGCTCTTTGTTTCTTTGAGCTCCAAGAGATGGGGTTGGAGAGCCTAAGAAACTGATATAAGTAGATGTTGACGTATGGTCACCCATGTTTCCAGCCCAATCTGCGTCGGAGTATGTCCTTAAGGTCGGAGTGGCAGTTTTGTTGATCTGAATACCATGAAAAATGGTCTGTTTTAAGTAGCGGAGAAGCCTTTTTGTTGCTGTCCAGTGCTTTGTAGTTGGCTTGGGCATAAATTGGGAGAGTTTGTTGACTGCAAATGAGATATCTGGACGTGTCAAGGAAAGGTATTGAAGACTGCCAATGATTCGACGAAATTCTAAACTATCTACAGCAACTGTGCCATCAACCAACTGAAGGGATTGAGTGGTAGAGAGAGGTGTGGAGACATATTTTGCACCACTCATAATTGTGTTGGCTAAAAGTTCATGAACATATTTATGTTGTGAGAGGAATAAGCCTGCCCGAGTAGGAATGACTTCAATCCCTAAGAAAAAATGAAGGAAGCCCTTATCTTTAAGAGAAAACATATCACCCAGCTGCTTAATGATAGAGGTCACAAAGAGGGAATCATTTCCCGTAATTACAAGATCATCAACATAAACCAGGAAATAGCAAAGAGTTGAGCCTTGCTTGTAAATGAAAAGAGAGGAGTCTGCCTTGGAATTGTAAAAATCCAGCTGAAGAATGGCGTTTTTAAGTGCTGTGTACCAAGCCCGTGGGGCTTGTTTAAGCCCATAGATTGCCTTTCTTAACTTGCAAACATGGTTAGGTTTGGACAAGTCTTTGAACCCTAGGGTTGCTCCATAAACACAGTCTCAGTTAATTCACCATTTAGAACGGCATTATTGACATCCATTTGCCTTATAGGGTTGCTCCATAAACACAGTCTCAGTCTCACCCATGTTTTCAGCTTATTAATTTCAGAATATGGTTTTAGCTTACTGAATGCGACTAATGTACTTACTCATCTTGTTGTATTCAATCATTATCATTTTTAGATATCAGCTTGAGACTAATTTATGATTTAGTACCAGCATTATGATTTATAGTGTTATAATACAGACTTCAAGAATAATGAGTACATAGAGATAAGTGAAATATCGGTTTTATTTTTATTTAAATGTATATACATACATAAAAGACCGTATAGCCATTTTTGTAAACACTCTACTCACTAGGATTATTATCTCATATATTTTCTTAACATCTTTCTTATAGGAGGCAGTTGACTGAGCGGTGGCGAATCTTATATTGATATTTTGCAGCAACTACCACCACTAATTGTATATTCTGTTGTTTAAAACAGTGTAACAATCAAGCTAATTATTTGCTTCATACTTGGGGATTTTTGTATCATAAATATACTAATAGTGATGATGGAAAATTATAAACTAAACACCATCACTTTTTTTTTTTTTTTTTGAA